CAGATAAGGTGAGAGGAATGTTTGGGGCCAGCTGTGAGGCAGGAGGATCCAAGGGGAAGAAGTTGGGTGTGCCGTGGGAACCAGGTGGGCCATCTCTCCCATTAGGGAGAAAGGGAGCCAGAAAGGGGATTGGGGCTGGGAGAGGCTTTAGCTCTGCAGAACTGTCACTAGAGTGACTTCTAAAAGTTAAAGTTGGGATTTGTTACCTGAGGTATACGGATGGACTACAGGGCTCTCAAAATATCCTGCAGTTGAATATAAAATTGTATTTTTCTGGACTTTTTCTTCTGGGAAGAGTATCCACAGCTTTGATCAAATTCTTTAAGGGGTGTATGAACCATAAAGAATTTCGCTAAAGCTCACCGTTAAAATGCTTGCAGGGAGATCATTTTAGAGGGAGCAACCCATTTACTGAACATTTTCGCAGATAACCTGCTAGTCATTTAACAAAGTAGAGAGCCTACGGGAGCAGCACACAGTGCTGCTATGGGAAGAGGAGGCCATTCCTTTGCCCATTCATTTAATAAATATTAATTGAGCAACTACTATACCAGGCACTGTTTAGATTCTGGGATACAGCACTGCACAAAACAGAGGGAGAAAAAATCTCTGCAAAGTAGAATGAAAGTTTCATTCTAGTGAGGGGAGACCAATTTTGAATAAAACAAATGAGTAAAATATTCAGCCTATTAGAAGGGAGTAAGTGCCAAGGACAAAAATGAAGACAGGAAAGAGGAATAGAGAGGGCTGGGAGCAGGGCGGGGAAAGGGTTCAATGTTAAACGGAATGATCAGAGGCAAGCTCACTGACATGACATTTGAGCAAAGACCTGAGGAAAGCAAGAGACCAAGCAGTGCAGCTACCTGGGGAAAGAGGATTCCAGACAGAGGAAAGAGCAAGTGCAAGGGCCCTGAGGCAGAAACATGCGTAGGGGGTTTGGGGAAGAGCAAGGAGGCTGGGGAAGCTGGAGTGAAATGAGCGTGAAAGAGGGTTCTGGAAAACAAAATCAGAGAGGTCATGGGAGGGGTAGATCGTGCACTCCGAGTCATCGTAAGACTTTTGACTTTTCCTCTGAGAGAAAAAAGAAGCTATTAGACAGTGTTGAGTGGAAAAGGATCTTGATATGATGACAGGTTTAACAGGTTCGCACTGGCTGCTCTGTTGGAAACAGATTATAATTCAGACAAGATAGTAGTCACCTCAACCAGGATGATGGTAGTGAAAGTCGTGAGCAGTAGACAGGTTCCGGGTGGAAAAAGGCATAGAAAGTTTCACAAAGGGCTGCAATGAGGCAGCAGCAATATTCTCAGAGACTTTCCAATGTTTCAAGGGACATGCCCTGCTGATCTAGTACACCCAGGCACCTTACAAGTGAAATCACATTGTGACAGAAGCAGGCTGCCTACAGAAGCAGGAGCCCTGCCCCCACCCTTGGACAGATGGACCCCGTGGACAAATCATTTACTTCTTCAGGACCAAAGTTTCCTGACTTACAAACAGGAAGAATACATGTCTGATTTGCCCTGGGGCTTCAGACTCAACTCTGTTGTCTTCAAATGCCTTCTCCTCCCGAGATCTATGATTTGGGTTTAATGAGAGGCTTAAAAACATCTGAAATGCCACATTAGAACCAAACTCTGTTTCTTGAATAAATAAGTAGTGCTTCTCTCTTCTTTCTTTTCCCTTGGACTTTCCCCTGCCTACAGGACTTGTGCTTGACTTGCTTCTCTGGGTGGTGGCCTTGGGGTACGGGGAGGGAGAAATCCCCATGTGGATTTTAATAGAGTGCAGCAGATCACTGTGGCAAGGCTGAGCCAAGCACCACATAGGTCGCAGATGCTGATCACAATGCATAGGCAGTATTTTGACTCAGAGCGGGTGCATAGGTAGGCAACATCCACCACCCTTGTCAACGCAGAGAGCCTAAAGCACTAGACGAGGGAAAACAGAAAATGTCAACAATCTCACAATCCAGGGCAATAAGGAAGACTGCAGCTAAGCTTATGCAGGCTAAACAGCACATAATAGAGCTTTAGTAAATAAAAGCCTCGGCTCAGCCTGATTAGCATCATAAAAAATATTGTGTTGAGGAAATGAGAAGTGGTTAATGAAACTATGCTACTCTTTTTGTAATCAGTTGACACTGTTCAAGATGGCTGGGGCGGACGCTCTTGAGTCTGGCTGTTCCATCCAGGTCACTTCTTTTCTTGTAGCCCCCACTGGGCAGGTCACAGGCCACAGAACTGCCTCCCTGCCCCAGATCCTGGGTTCACAGGTGGATTCCTGATACCAGCTGAGATTACTGAGCGAGGGAAGCTAGAGGCTTGGCAATGAGCATGGCCTCAGAGTTGTCCTCTGGTGGTCTCCTCTGAAAACTGCTCGAGGAAAAATCATGTCTGGAGCTGCCCTCCACCCCATCTCTGAAATATTACAGACCTCTGCCCAGCAAAGCCTGCAGGGGTCCTTACCTCCAGAGGGCGTGCCAGCGACTCTCCTAAGGAATTTAACCCACTCCTCCATCTCTGCCTGGGAGCTGGCCATGAGGATGTAAGAGTCCTGTCCCGTGCGACTCTGGTCCCATGAGGCTGGAAGAAGAAGTAACACTAATGAAGATCATAGAGTGGTAATGGGCTTGAGCAAGGGGAAGCAAATGGGGGCCAAATCCGACCATTGTCTTGCTTCAATTAAATAACCTATCAGATTATCTACTCGTCCTCAGTGGCACTGAATCTCTGTGCACCCTTATTGTTTTTGCCGAAGCTCTAATTCTGTAGATAAACCACTGACCACAGTGGTCTACAATTGGGATGACTTGGGTTGAGAGCTGCACCTGTGGAGAATAGAAGCCATTTCTTACCAAAACGGAAGAGGAAATTCACAGGGCAGTTTCAGTATTAGAGGAGACAAGACCAGCTCATACAAGTTTGACGACTTCAGTCCATCATGCTAATCATAGATACTTTCTAAGCTACCTTTGAACTCAGTCGTGGGGTGGGAAAGGGAACAGCAACTCAGGAAGGAGGGAAAACAAACACATGTGTGTCTTTCTCATGAAATCGGTACTTCTTGTTCAGGATGACTGCTCTCCTGCCTGCACAGGATATTGCAAACGATAGGTTCTCGATACATACATGATGAACAAATGAAGTTTGTTAGGACTTTCTTTACTATTTTCTCTTTAAAAACATATGTAGTATTTCCTGCATTTGTGTTCTTGAATGGACAAAAGGGTAGAGGAAATGACAAGGAAGTGTAGGGGGGAAGAGGAGACCAAGATAAAGAATGAAAGAAAGTGACAAAATGATAAAAAAAAAAAAAAAAAAAAAAAAAAAAAAAAAAAAAAAAAAAATAGGGAGAGAGAAGAAGAGAAGGAGGAGAACATCAAACACAGATCTTAGCAAGGACAAGAAAATAACAGCAATTCCTTTCAATCACAGGGTACTATTAAATTTCAAAGTGTCTATGTAGATATCAATCCATTTTTCTCTCAATGTCCGGCCATTCCCCTCAAAGAAAGCCTGTTCTAGTACCATGTTTGTGCCAAAAACTATATTTTCTTACAGGAAAACAAAAGACTTTCAAATTCCCATTGGTCCTGGTCTCTTGAACCCATCTTAACGTCACCAAGCCTCACCTTCTTTCACCCTTTGAGACAGCTGATTCTGAATCTGTCTATCATTAGGTCATCAGCTCTTCTGATCAGAAAGGTCTGCCCCTGGAAGCCCTGGCTGGGTGTTTCCAGACGTAGAATAGGAAGTAAAAAATGCTCAGGGAAGAACAACAACAACAAAAAATTCTGTAGGAATCAAAATATCCCTTTGAAATGGAATGGGCTCTCTAGTATCATTTCCTCTCTACAAATAATAGAACCTAAACCCAGAAATGCAAAGGGATCTGCTCCTCGGTGCCCAGTAAGTTAATTGCCAAGCTCAGGGCGAAGCTATTGGTCTCCTTTCTCCCGAAGGAGTTTCCACTAGCCTATACTGCTTCAAATTTGACCTTGGCCAACATTTGTCTGGTGTCTTTCCCCATCACAACTACACTCCAGTCTACTGCGTTGTCAGGAACATGACTTTTTAGTTTACCTTGATTCCTGGGAGATCCTTTCGATCCCCTATGGCAACCTCACTGAGAAACATTCAGTTCCTAAGATGTTTCTGAGTGGCCAGGGCTCCCATGGACTGACCCTTAGGGCCAGAAGATCTGATGATCCATTGACAAAATGTATTCAGAATTGGGTCATCTCAGAGGGTAAAGAAGGTGAGGTTCAGTGATATTAATACAGACAGGTTCAAGAAACCAGAACCAAAGGAAATTTTAAAATCTTTTGTTGCCCTACAAAAAAAAAAGTAATGTTTGGGCATATAACAGTGCTAGGATGGGCTCTCTTTCAGGGAAATTGCCTAGAATTAATACAAAGCCCACGAATAGCAACTCTGCCCTCAGGCACATATTTTCTCTGACTTTCACTGTTTGTACAAATGTGTCACCTACTGGGCTGTTTCCTTGTCAGAAAGGAACTTCCCTTCTTTTCTTTCATTGCCTAAGGAACTCCTTCCAATTCATCCTTTAAAATCATCTTTGCCATTGTTTAGGCGAAAACCTTGGATCGCCTTGACTTTTCTTTGCCACATCCAATCCCTCTGCGAATGCAGTCCTCTCTATCTTCAAAATGTATCCAGAAATTGATTATTTCTCACCCTGTCACTGTTCCCATCTCTGACTTAGATAATTGCAATAGCTTCCTCACTGGTCTCCCCATTGTCCTAGGCTCCTTCTCATCTCAACTCAAAAGAGTTTTAAATCATAAGTCCGATTACGTCACTTCTCTGCTCAAAACTTCCCGATGGCTTCTCATTCTTCTAGTACAAAAACTAAACTTTTTACGATTGCCTGTAAGTGCCTGTAAGAGTCGTGTCCACCGCAGACCAAATCTCCCGGCCTTCTTTCCTGTCTTCACGCCAGGGCAGCCACGCTGGTCTCCTTGCTGTTTCCTGAACACGTGAAATAGGCTCAGAGACGCTGTGCTGGCTGTTCCCCTTCCTGGAATGCTTCCTCCAGACGTGCATGTAGCTTATTCATCTTCAGCTCCTTCGGATCTCTGCTCAAAGGTCACCTTCTCAACAAAAGTGACTCAAAAGTCACTTACTCTGCCTGCTCTATTTAGAATGACAAATCAACCACCACCGTCACCTCGCCCAAGACTTTCTCTTTCTTTGCTTATTTTTTTTCCATAGTACTTATCCCATCATAAAACTATACCATCTACTCATTTATTTAATTTGTCGTCAGTCTCCTCCCATGTAAGCTGCATGCAGGCTATTTTGTTCTTTGCTGGATTCCCAGTTCCTCCAGTAGCGCCTGGCTCACAGCAGGTGCTCAAGAAATTTGTTGTATAAGTGAATGACAACATCTAATAAGGCGACGACCTTAGATGCAACAGAAGGAATAACCCTCCTATCCTTGATGACTCCCTTTGGGTGGGAGAAGAGACAGTTATTCTGCTAGAAGTAAATGGGAAGAGGCAAGCTTGCCCTAAATTTTTGCCTATCCCAAATAAAGAAAAACATAACTACAATAACAGCCTTTTCTGTGGCCTTTGTGCAACTAACACCGGTAATTACAGAGAGAGGGCCCTGATTTGGAACGCCGTCTCTTGTGCCAGCATTGGCCCCTGAGAATCATCTAGCACAAGAGGATGACAAAAAGGGGAACTAAAAATTCTCTGCATCATAACATAAAGAGTTGTCTCATTTTAGGTCGGGTGGAGGCATGATGGCACCTTTAGGAAAATCGTTCTATTGCTTTAGAATTATTGTTTGTCCTCATGGGACTTGTGTGTATATATATCTGTGTGTGTGTGTGTGTGTGTGCGTGTGTGTGTCTGTGTGTGAATCTGTTCAAGAATTCCCCTAGTAGCCCAGGAGACTTCTGCAAGTATGAGTGATAATGAGAGGACAGATCTTCATCCTATCTTAGCACAGCAATTCTCAAGGGTACTAGACATTTGGTGCAAAGCCCACGGTGAATTTGCAGCTGGAGCTCTCAGTAAGGCTACCCCAGATTGAAAATTCAGGCTTTGGGACATGTGTTACCATGGATGGTTGCATCCAATGAATTGTGCCTGTAAGGGATCCTAGGAGTGGAGGAAGCCTTGTGGAAAAGGGGTGAGTTTATCCTAGAGAGGGGAGACTGAAAGAGTAAGCTCTTCCTCTAAGGAGGAAGAGAGCTGGATTAAAAAAGCAAGGGGGTGCCGTGAGAGGCCACCTGGAAAGAGCTAAACTTTAAAAAAACGTTTTTCTTTGTTTTCTATAAATAGTCATAGTCAGTTTTAGGACTGGTTTCTACATTATAATTTCCTCTAGTTCTCTTCGAAATATCAGATACTTACATGGTACTAACTGTATATCAGGCACTGTGAGAAATATTTCATATATATTTATTTAACCTTCACTATCGTCATCATTGCCCCCATTTTACAGATAAAGAAATAGAGGCAGGGAGAAGTTAAATAATGTGATCACAATTACACAAATAGTAAGAGGCAGGGCCAGAATTTGGACCTGGGCAGGGTGACTCCGAACCGGGCGTGTCTAACCTCTCTGCTGCCTTGCCTTCTTCACCAAGTTTCTTATGCACACAGCTGCCTTGGGTGAGTGGTAAGGAGGGAGTTAAGCAAAGGGGGCACTCAGGGGACTTGTGGTCTCCCCTGCTATGTTGGCAACAGCCTGGCTGCACTATGGGAGCAGCAGTCCTGGAGTTCCTGGTTCCGCTGACAAAGGAGCAAGGGACAGGGAGAAGCAGCCTCAGTGTGACTGATTCACACAAACACAAACGAACTCTCCTGAGACAAATTCCCCTTACCCCAAATGTACTTGAAGAAGGTAAAGTAACTCTTGACTGGGAAAAACACCCTCTAATGTGCTGCTAACATGTGTAATAGGTGAATTACAGCACCTGACATGTGCTAAGCACTCAGTAAGTCAGAGCTGTCATTTCTTATTAGGTCACATTGAACCATAGGAGAATGTTGACTGTCAACAATTTCCCAACTGCCGAAATGGCAGTTTCACATAGTTCAATTTATATTTTAACTGTTAATTTTAATGTCCCACTAACCTTCTAGACTGAATTCCTTTCTGTGAGCAGGGATGATGTCTTCAGATCAGTGTCCCAAAGCCTAGTGGAATACATGACTTCAAGTCCATGTTCACGAAGTGCTTACATAGCTGAACTGAATGTGCACCTACTTAGTTCACTTGCTAGTTAATGAACTAGTACAGGTTCATTAACTCTATATAAACTACAATGCACCCTTACTTGGTTGATTGATTAGTTGTTGACAGATCCACTGAATATAGCTTTGACTTCTAGGATCCAGATGGAAAATGAGAATGTAATACACCTCTGTCCCATCTTTTGTCACCTACCTGGAATGACTTCAAAGACAAACTTCCCCGCTTCTTCTGGGTTTGTGGCAATCTCTTTGATAGTACTTCCTGGTAGATACATATAACCCTGAAATATCAAAAGTCAGGCCTGTAAGATAAGCAGTGATTTTATCACCTATGAACTAATATTAAATTGGAAGACAAACAAGATTATGATAGGATGCAGGAGGGGAATAAGTGGAGAAGAACATGAAAAGCTAGCTTTGAATGGGGACCCTTCTGCTTTTCAGGCTTCTATAAAATTAAGTGGTAGCTGTCTGAGAGCAAACTAGGTGCCTAGAGAGAAAAGAACGAGGTCCTGACGGGAGAATGAGCTGAGAGGGCATCCTCACCAATACTTACCTTTTCCTACTTTTCCAAGAACCCGACTTCCTGGCCAAAGCAGACACCTGATCTTTGTGAAGGCAACATTGAGACTGGGTGGACCATACCAACTGCTGGGATCCCAGAAGAGACACAGAGGACTGAACCACAGCTAGCCATTCAAGGGGATGGAGTCTTCCCCTTTGCTAAGTGCCTTGAATGCATTAATCATTTAGTTCTTCCAGCAATCCTCCAAGCAAGGTTTCATTATGCCCATTGACAAGTGAGGAAACTGGGAATCAGAAAGGTTCTATAATTTTCCCAATGTCCCCAGAAGAAAATGATGCTGAGATTGTGCTACTGGGCTACTTTGCATGAGTGGCACCAGAATAAAAGGTCGTGTTATTTTTAGTTAGGGGAGAACGCTGCCTGGTAGGAAGGAAAAGGAAGTATAATTTCAGAGGTACCTGCCTCTCTTAAGTACCTCTCTAAACTAATATTTGATACCCCAAATAATTTCATCTAAAAATAGTAAAAATAAAATACGAAATATATAAATACCATTTATCGAGCAATTACTAGGTGCCAGGCTTTCTGCTCAATGCCCTGAATATATTATCACATTTAATCTTCATAAAAGCTCTATGGGGGATGGACTGATATTTTCCCCATTGGAGAGATGAGGAAGTAAGGTTCAGAGAGGTTGATTAGCTGATCCAAGATCAAAAGCTAGCTATCAATAGGAAAGATATGATTCAAACTTTGGTTGGTGGGATTCTAGAATTAAAAGGAAGGCTTTACTCATAAGTCCCATTAACTTGCTGGAAGAAGCAATAATCAGAGTTAAACTTAATCACACGAAGGCATAAATGACAATTGCAAGCTGTTTCCTCATATTGAGCACGAAAGCCTTGAACATCATAAATGAATAGAGGAGACAGGAAGAGTAGGAAATAGTAAAAGAGACATTAGTGGGATTAGGGGTGGGGACTTTGATGGGAAGAAGGATTTTCCCAGTCAAGGGAGGGCCTAAGTTGCCTACTTGGCAAGTTGGTTAGGGTAGACTCTGTACAAAGATGAAAATTCTGGAGGCCACAAGTCCTGCAGCAATTATGCTGGGGGAGAGGTATGACGGTGGTGTGCCAGAACCCCTGCTAATATTGGCTCAAGATGACTGTTACATTTTCGGGAACTCTGTGAGCTAACTGTTAAACACAGCCATTATTAAAAGTTAAATTATATAGACTTAATATAAAATTAAATATTTTATATTAAAAATAAAAGTAATACTACTCAGAATTCTTAATTACTATATTTTACTATTACTTCTGTTCATATGGTTGGTTATTTACATCTATCCGTGTGGTAGAACTACTATATAACATTGTGCTACTGCATATCTCAACTCCATGTTCAGTGATGTCATGTTCGCAGCTTGAGTCGGCCATGGGGGAGTATTTATACCACAGAAATTGGCAATTTCTACGTCCAAATCAGCTCCCCGACCAGAAAGTCATTTGTTCAACATTTACCAGCACATCTCCGATAGACAACCACATAAGAAACTTCGCAGAAAGCAGGTGACGAGATAAGGAGACAAATAGGCCAGGATTGTCTAAAACTGTCACTGTAGCAGACTTGAAAGGCAATCTGCTGAGATTCTGTTTTAAAAAACTTCCCTGACAAAGAACCTTTTGGAATGAGTTAAATAAAACCAGGTCATGAATTAGAGAGCATTATGCTATGAGAGCTTGACAGACCTCTCTGAGAACCTGGAGAAAAAAATGCAGACTGCCTTCTTTTGAGCTCTAAGGTTCTCGAAAGCACATACACAAGAGTTCCATAATTATGTAATCGTTCTCCTTTGTTGGACACTAGACCCAATATGTCTCATTGACATAGCACTGCATATATCTTAGTATTTCTTTTAGAAAGTTTCTTAAAACCAGAATAGTTGGGACTAAGGGTATGATCTTTTGTGGCCTTTGGAAAATTGGTTGAATTGCTTTCAAGAAAGGTTGCACCCACTGACATACACATCATCAGTATACTTGAGGGCCTTTTTCATCTGAGTGCTCTAAGATTTGGGGCGTGTCTCCTATTTTGAGTTTTCCAGGGATCAGTGTGTGTGCTCTTTTTAAATTTACAATGAATTTATATTTTAGAAATATTAGAAAGTAAACAAAAAAGTAGAAAATTAAAAATTATATGTAACTCTAGTACTCAGAGATTATCACAGTTAACACTCTGTGTATTTCTTTCCAAGCCTTTTTCCATAAATACAGATTCATAATTTTTTCCTAAAGAACAGAAAATCTGTTGTAAATTGCTTTTTTTAAAAAAAGGAAACAAAATAGTTATATTATGAATATATTTCAATTTCAAAAAGCATTAATTTAGGGCATCAATGGCTTAATTTATTCTATTGTATAGATTCATAAAAGGCCTCGGATATAACTTAGGCTCTACCACTGGGTGTTGTTTTTACATTGCTATTATAAATAACACTGGTAAAAACATGTACAGGTAAATTTAATTATCTACATCAATGTTAATCATCCACTCAGATTAAATTCCTAAAACTAGAAACGCAGAGTGAAAGTGTTCACATTTTTAAGCGGCATATTACCCTTCAGGAAGGTGGTACAGATTTTCATTTCCACCAGCTGCACATGAGAATTCCTGTTCCCTAGTCCTTACCGACACTGAAATTTCTAGAAAATCTTTGCCAATTTGATAAGGGGATAATGGTATCTCATTAGCTGACATTGCATGTCTTTAATTTTTACCGAGACTGAACTTTTTATACATGCTTTTTGTCTATCGCATTTTTTGGGAAATTGCCCATTTGTGTCATTTATTCATTTTTCTACTGGGCTGCTTCTTGCAGATTTGAAAGAATACTTTAAATATTAAGACTATCTGTTTACCACATGTATATAAACAATTTTTCCTGTTTATTATTTGCTTTTTCTTTGTTTTTAAGGTACGACATTTTCATTTACGTGATTAGTCTTTCTCTTGTGCTGTTTTTGTTGCTGTGCTTTAAAAACCTGTCTTCCAAATATCATGCAGATAACTGCATTTTCTTCAAACGTTTTTATAAACTCATTTTTCACATTTAAGTCTTTAATCTATCCAGAATCAGGAATGGTGTAAAACATAGTGTAGAAATATACCTTTACTTTTATCCAAAAATTTAGCTTATGTCTGTAACTTTCATTTTGTTTCTAGATATTTGCAATATCTGAGTGTCCCAAAATAATGTTAAACAATAGTATAATAAAAGTATTTTTAATAGATTTTTCTTTACCTTAATAAAATAATAGTGGATATATGAAAAGTCTACAAAAATGTCCTCTTAATTCTTGTTTGTAATAATAATATAGAAACATCAGCTTAACTTAAATTATAGAATGTCCATATAATAGATTATTTTACCACTGTTAAGAATTATATTATAGAAGAATATTTAATAATAAGGGGCCATATTCATGACATATTGTTAATTTTTTAATTAAAATATATTATTCTAGTAATTTTGCACTTAGGATAGATGAGTTTATAAAATGCATATGTATAGAAAAAACTGGAAGAAGTAAGGATTTAGGTGTCTATTTCTGGCTGATGGGAGAATTTTTATTTTCTACCTGTGCTTTTCTGCATCTTCCAAATTTCCTACCATGCACACACATATAGCTTTTGTAGTCAAAATATACATATCCACATAAAAAAAAATATTCTTTCTACGAAATTCATTTTATTCTTAAAAGCGTTTTTAAAAAACTTTTTTATATCTGAAATGAGTATTGGATTTTAGTAAATGCTTTTTTCAGCTATCAATTTATGGGCTGTTCTCATTTGACTTATTGATCTCGACCTATTGATCTGATGTATTATTTTCCTACGTAATAAACCATACTTATTATCTTAGAAGCAGCTTTACCTAATTATCCTAGGCTAAAGTAATCCTGAGAGGACTTTGGGTTTCCTTCTCTAGAAGTAAAGGAGAGAAGGCTAAGACTCTCAATAATTTATTTTACACTTTGACTTCAGTTTATGCTTTTGCAAAACAGTTTTTTACACATGCTTCATATCATTTGATCCTGTGATAAATGAAAACCAGTTAAGATTGTTTCATTTTACAAAAAAAGAAAGAGTCCAGAAAAATTAAATAAATAATTACATGGCCAGATGGTAGTAGAGCCAAGAAAAGAACACCAGCTTGGAAACAATGTGCCTCTCACCCTCCACACCTTGTGAGAGTGAACGCCACCGAACTGTCCTTTCGGCTTCAGGAAGGCGCACACATTGTTGCCATCTCCCTCACTCTATGCAGATGGGAAGACTTCCTGCATCAGCTATTAATGCACCAGTCACTATCATCTGAGCCTGTAATTGCTCTGAAAGGGTCTGAGTTGTTTGTAAAGAGAAGGGAGTCCGACTACCATGCACAGGACACTAAGAACTCAGTCTGTAGCGGGGTCTCTGGCCCTTCTGCAGCCTCTGCAGTGACAGACACTAATAGCTCTCAAGTAAAAGGCCTGTTTAACCAGGTGCTGCTGATGCATCACAGATCCTCAAGTCTGCTCTTAAAAGATAATATTCCTCTTCCAAAATGGCTATCACCTTTCTTACATACCCTGCCATGCACCCTCAATATCCTCATCCTTCTTGGGGCTTTATTTCTGGCTCTAGAAGGTTCTAGAGTCTGTCTTCCCTAATCAGTTACTTCTGGCCAAGCTCTCTCTTACTTCTCCAGAGACATGAGCGCTAGATAGAGTAACTAGTTTTCCTGGTTGCTCCGACACAAGAGTTTACACCTGGGATCCCAGAGTAATTGGTAATAGCAATCCCTTTCACTCTCATGCACCACAATGGCCATGAGGAATCAACGGTGAAAAGAGAAAAGACTTAGGCCCAATCTTTAGGACCAAAGCCCTCTATAGCCCCATCTACATCGGGAAATCCTGTTTGCTTTCTTTTCAAAGTACATGAGAAATCTAATCATTCTCCTTCAGCACACAAGTTCTACTGAGATTTCAAACATCATAACCTCTCACCTGAATTACCTTTGTGCCTCCTTCCTCAGGCCCTACGTCTATTTTTGAACATAATAGTCAGAGCCATCTTTTTTACAACATAAGTCAAAACATGTTCCCTTTCTCCTGGGAACTCTCCATCAACCTCAGTGTAAACACCCAAGTCCTCGCAGCGGCCTACAATGCCTTTCAATGCCTAATCTGTGCTCCAATACCCCACGATCACCCCCACTTCTCTGACCTCATCCCCTCTGATTCTCTCATTCCTTAGCTCTGCTGCTCCCACACTGACCTCCTTGCTATTCCCCAAGGACATCAGATATGCGCCACCTCAGGGCCTTTGCACTGGCTGTGCCCTCTGTCTGAAGTGCTCTTTCCCCAGAGATCTGCTTGATTATTTACTTCTCCTTAGTCTTTGCTCAGATGTCTCCTTCCTCATGAACTCATTCTGACCGCTCTTTTAAAAATTGTAACATCTCCTTCAAACACTTGGCTCCCTTTAATCCATTCTATTTTTTCTTCATAGAACTAGTCATTTTCCAACAATCCACATAGCTTTCTTTATTTATTATGTTTATTCTCTACTTTTCCCTCCATCTTCTGAGTTCTACATGGCAGGGATTTTTATCTGCTTTACTCACTTGTTTATTTAAAGTACCCAGAACAGTATCACATAGCAGATGCTCAATAAATATTGATTGAACAAATACATGAAAGCCCCAAATCATTTTTCTTGAACCCCAATCTACTCTATCCGAGCTCTCATATACTCAGAGTCATCATCAAGGCCGTGTTGCCAGCCTTGGGTTAGAGCTGCACTTAGGAAGCTCCACAGTGTTCACCTTGGGGCTTCCTGAAGAAGGATCACACTGTCATCTTTGCAGCTCAGGTTCTATATCTAGAAAATAGCGAAAAGGAGAGAGCAACCTCCTTGCAGATGGATGTGTGTCTAATCCTAATAAGAAGGCCCCTGTGAGTTTATATGTCATCTAGGTGGGCTCCAGGGACACTTCCTGTGTGCCTGGAGCGAGGGAGGGGGAGAGAGAGAGAGAGAGAGAGAGAATTGGTAATGGGGACAGACAGCCTGGCCAGTACCTGTGGCTTCACGTCTTCTTCGTCCTTGTAGTAGTAAAGCTGCTGCGCCCTCAGCACGAAGTACCTCTGCTGCCAGTTTTTCACGATGGACCTCTGTTTCTTCAGCCAGCCCATCTTGATAGGCCTTTCCAGCGGGTTGGGAGTGGACGACTGGTGAAAAGCCGCCATCTGCTCGCCGGTCATAACACTCCTTGACCGAGCTATGGAGAGGAACAGACAGGCGGACTGACTGAGGGACATGAAGCAGTGTGCAAAGAGTGGGCGGGGAGGCGAGAGAGGAACCCCCGAGGGGGCTGAGCGGCGGGTGGGGCCCCCGCCAGGTCCGGCTCAAGGGTCCAGATCTGTATCAGAGAAAGTCCTCAGCGACCCACAAAGGAAGACGGACCGAGACCGAGAAGGAGGCGAGACCCAGAGGCCCAGCGCGCACAGTCCGGCAGCCGGGTCGGCCCCCTCATTCTACGAAGCGAAAGATTGGCTGGAGCATTCTGCAGAGGAAGTGGCCGCAGCATCTGACAAAAGGTGCTTCCTTTTTCCTGCGTGGGAGTCAGTATCTGACAAGAGAGAGTAGAAAATAATATCTGGCTCTGACGGTTCAGGGTGAGTGAGTCCCACGCAGCTGCAGCGGCACCGGAAGTTGCCGGGCATTCTTCACCAAGAAGGAGCTGTTGTGTTCGCTCTGACCTCACTGTCAAATGGAGCCCTTCCCCAGCAGACCCGCAACACCCCTGGCCCCACTCCACGCAGCCAGCAGGCAGGAAGCTGGCACCTCCTGAATTTTCCTGCCAAGTGTCGAATGCCATTCTGTCCCCTGTCTGCTGAGAGTGATTACAGCCCTTTATACTGGACCAAGAACCTCCCTGTAGCTACTTTCCTCCTACCTTTTCAGTCAGGCTGTCCCTCCCACGTGCTGACAGCACAGGAGCATTTGAAAGGAAAATAAATCTGCCAGCAGAACGGAGAAACAGAATTTGAATCCAGACCCTTTCAAGTCACTGCTTTGTGTAGTTGGCTTTTGTTTTCACACATGAGTTCTGCCCTTCATTGGATCAGGGCCAAGTATCCACGGCTTGTCTCCACGGTAATTCCCATTCAGGACAACTCTCTCTACACTTACCAGTCTTATGTCTGCATTTATTTTCTTGCTGGAGGAAGTTTCCATTTCATGTTCCCTTTTTTCAGCTTTGCCACCATCCCCCCCAATAACATTCATAATGTAGTTGAACTAAGCCAACCCCATTCTCTACCCATCGCATCCCACCCGGTTAGAGACCTGTTCTTCCTTTCCTGTCACTTTGACCCTGGGTCCATTATGCAACTTCTTTGAGCTTCAGTTTCCTCACTTGTTAAACTGGGATAGTAATAGTCCCTTCTCTATGGAATCGTTGCAGAGAAATAACAAGCTAACATACGTAAACCACTTAGCACAGTCCCTGGTCCAAGGTAAGCAAATGTTACTCATTATTTTTATCAACAGATGACTTTACTTCTTATTGCAAGGATACAGATCAGCTTTGAGAGCTTCCTAAACATCTCTCATTACTTCAAAATGTCGCTCCATCATTAAGCTTTCTCTCTTCTTTCATTCTTATCTTTAATGCATTGAATCAATAACTTTTCCCATTGTTTTTGATTCCTTTCTTTCTATGTCCTTCTATACTTGGATTTTCAAACTTTATTTATGTTTATGGCATACATTCAAATACTAAAATTTATATGGCATTATAAAATCTTTCTTCCACTGATTTTAATTGTATTCAGACTTACCACCTTATCTACATGTGTCGCGCTTCAATCCTGTATTGTTGTCTGAAGAGGACTCTGCCCTAACTGAGCTCCCTTGACCTTCGCAAGGGGTCTGTGTTCCTGTCACATACCCTCATTTCCAGGTGCCAGCTTGCAGTCACCCCTTACCTCCTACCAGGGACTGAGATGTCATATTATGTTATACACCAGGGAGCAAGACATACTTGATTCAACTTCCTGTTGGACAGACATCATCATAAGAGTTAATAGACTCAGCTCTAGTAAAAAAAATAATTTGACATTTTGAAAACAATTTGGCAGTATGTTTCCAAAGGGTTTGCTTAACATCAGTGCATCCTGGCACCTTAGACAATATTTTTCTTAGATCTTGCTCCTTAGTTAACTGCTATGTTGAAGATGTTCCATCTATAACTCACAGGGTAGTGGGGTTGATGATTTACTCTAAGGCTGTGTAGATGATCTGAAAGAAACATAGGAGGGTTTGGGCAGGAATACAATGGAAGGAGGGAAATTGAAGAACTGTACACAGCTCTGTGTCTCTCTAGGTCAGAGACTGTAGCTTGCAAAGACTTGTATCTGTCCTAGAAAGAGAGCAAATTGTAGGCAGAGATGAAAAGAATGGTTCACACACAATTTATGGAGAAAATGAAAGAGTGAGGAATTGTGGCAGATGCAGGGGTATTTTCCCCACCCTAGTAGCCTCTGTGTCACCCAGCCCAGTGCCAGTGTGATTTTTGTGACCATGCAGATGAAGCATAAGCAGCATCAGAGTTGGGAGGGAAGACCTCTCTCCTAGCAGTAGCGTAACCAGAAGTCTTCACTTGGCCTCTTGGGTGATGTCACCAACTGGAGCCAGCATAGGAGAAGAGAGAAACAGGCAGGTGTCACCTGCTGGTTACGAGAACTCAAGCTCATGTATTTCCCCCCAGAGACCCACAGAAATCATTAGAATCACTATAGGAGATAGGAGAAACTGAAAGTCTCCAACAGCATTGAGGAAGTGCGATGTGGGGAGCAGGAGCCAAAAAATACACCATAGATTGAAGAAAATTAACTCAGCACAGAAGAACTCAATTGCTGGGTTATTATTCTATGGCTAGTTCTGGGAAATTTTTTATGCTCTGTTGTGGCAAAAACAACGATGACAAAAACAAACACACAAAAAACAAAACCTTCCCCTAGAAGCATCTGTACGTTGCAGAATGGCCTGGCAAAGGCAAGAGTAGGTATGAGGATCTAATGTTCTCAGACCTGGCCAAGAGAGGCTTAATGCCACTGTGGCAGAGAGGCAGCCACCTGTCTGCCCACATATGGCCAAGGCCTTGACTAACCATCTTTTATATTCCATAAGTGATACCGTTCACCCATACATCCACTCAGTGTTTCCTGAGGGCCTGTTACCATCCCCAGCATAGGCAGTATGACTACGGTCACTGGATCATGTGTGACAAGTTAGAGTGTAGATGGCTCAGTACAAACCTCCAGACTGCTGAAATTAGGGCAGGTGACAGCTAGAGCTCTGATGAGCCAGTGACCAAATAGGGGAACTTTCTGTCCCATGTCAAAGCCATCTACCACCTCACATTGCACATTACCAGGCACATCATGAGATGATTCAAATATCAGGGAAGAAAGCCTGATGGGCGTTGAGTTTGACTTGATTTTGACTAACTTTCCTTGTTAGTTCCTTCGAATAGTCTCTCTGTGAGTGTGACTTGTTCCTGGATAAAGTAAACAAAGAAATCTGTTACTATTAATGGAGCTATTTCTTACAATGAAAATAATAACCATGATAAGCTTCACTTGTGAGCCAGTCATAGCACACTGAGTGCATACTCCCAGCCCTTCGGGAAGGATTTCTGAACCAGGCTGTGAGCTGGAGAGGGGTCTGCAAGCAGACTAGGGAGGCAAGATGAGAATTTGGAAGGCAGTTGCTAAACATTTACAGAACACTCTAGGGAAGGGGGATATGAAGTTCTCATGAAGTCAGAAATTCAGTCTTACTCTAGTAGAGAGAGAAAGAACAGCCTCTAGAATTGCACTGTCCAATACAGTAGCCACTTGCCATGAGTGGCTATGCCCATGAAAATTAACTAAAATAAATTAAATTCAGTTCCTCAGTCACACCAACCACATGTCAAGTGCTCAGTAGCCTCGTGTGGCTCATGGCTAGACGATTGGACAACACATACAGAGAACATATCTATCATCACAGAAGGTTCTATTGGGCAGCACTTCCTGGAAACTGAGTATTATCATTACTAAGCATGGGACAAAATAGGCCTTAAACGTAAGGAAGCATTTCATCAAATAAAAAATTCGAGCTCTATGGCCCAAGAAAAAATGGCTTCGGGTGGCAGAGTGAGAACCTCAACTTTGATCTGAGAGTCAAGAGGGAGCTGTTTCATGTACCTTAGAAAGCGGGAGCCCATGGTAAAATGTAGACAAGTTATGTAATTATACTGCATATGCTGAATTTTAGTCTGCAGGTGAGTGATGGCACCAGAAAAGAAAGAAGAGAAATGAAAGAAGTGCACATTTCCAGGGATACTGTTTCTGCAGTAGAAGTTAGCTGCTTTTTGCCCCACATTAGAGCAAGAGAAAATTAAAGGTGGAAGTATTAACAAAGAGGTCAGCTTGGGAAGCATTATCACTTCCTTTCTTCATCTTCCCATCTTCTGACCCCTAACCCCAAAAATAATCAATCACAAAATCTTCTAGCATCTACTTTTGAGAGTTTTTTTTTTTTTTTGCTCTCAACTTTGCCTCAGTTTAGATTCTATGTGTGGGTGAGATAGGAATAGTTTATTCAAAACTGGGAGAACCACTTAAGGTATTTTCTCAATATGTTGGTATGAGCAGTGTATTAGTCTGGGAACCATGTTTAAATGAACTTGAAAAGGGAGTAGAACTTATATGGTTGCAACCCAAAAATCTCCTGCGTTGCAGGCCCATCTATTCAACTGCCTGCATATACCTCAGTAGGAATCTCAAGGTCACCGTGTTGAAGATCGCATTTACCTCCCACCTCCCCACCTCCCCACCTCTCACCATTCCTCACCCTGCACCAACAAATGCACCCACTGCTTTATCTCCTCTGGTCTCTGTGATGTGAACAAACTCTTCACAGCCAAGCAACCAAATCAGAAAGCTGCCTCCTTACTCCAGTCATCACAACCAACAACTCTGTCTCTCTCCCTGATCCAGCCTTCCTCTCTACACCCACCTGGTTTTGGGACCCTTCTATCCTCTCTCTGGATTTCTGCAATAAGCCTCTCACTCGTCCCCCTCCTACCAAACCCACCTCCAGTCCACCGATGATATTGTTCATGGACACAAATCTGATCATGCTACGCTCCTGCCTAAAAACCTCCCATGACCCTCCAACACCTTCATCCTAGAAGATGAAGGCTGAACTCCCCACCACGGGGTTCGAATTTCTTTGTGGTTTTCCTACTGCACTTTCTGCTTTTCTCCCATACCCATCCTGCACTTCACCTTTGACAATATGCTCTTCTCTCTGCTGGAATATTCCCCCCACCCCTCTCTACCCATCCCAATTTGACCTCTTGGAAAACTTGCTCATCCTTCAAGACTTATTTTAGGCCACACCTCCTGTGAGAAGTCTTCTCAGCCTAGGCTAGATTCAGTCATTTCCCGGGCTCTGCTCTCTCTTAACTGGGAACATATGCCCATCGAAGCACTTATTTTTCTACTTGGTACTCTTTCTTACTCTGTCTTCTCTCTCTGCAACATTCTAAGAAGACAGAGGCTCTACCTTGATGCTCGGGCCTTGCTCATCTTTGTGTCCCTAGCACCTAAAACAGTGCCTGAGAAAGAGAAAGCAGGTGAAGTAGCAGACGGTACAGGCTTCTATATATGCAGCCATGGATAGTCATGTTCTTTCTCTGAGGGTCAGTTTCGTCCTCTGTGAAATTGTGATAATAATACATACCTTGTGGGGTGGGTAGTCTGTAAGGGTTAATAGTGAAAAGTGAAGAGGCCCCAGCCAATGTCTGCCTTTTAAAACATAGCTATTAAACAGAGGCTATTATCATCAGCATTATTATTATAGTATGGGCTCGATCTTATGTTAAAGGAAAAAAAGAAGAGATGAAAGAGGGAAAGACTGAAAAGAAGGAGAGAGAAGGAGAAAAAGAAAAGTGGAAGACTGGCTGGACATTGTACAATATTCCAGGTGCAAATCCAGAGGCCTAAGTAGAGTGATGGCAATGGAGAAGGAAAGAGTAGGAGAGACCGTTGTGACTCAGACCATTAGACCTCAGCAGCTGACTGAACAGGAGGAATGGAGGCAAAGACTTCTGCAAGGTAAGTCAGCCTTGTCTACCCACTCATTCAATGCACAGTGGCTGAGCATTTGGCATGAATCAGGAACCGTGTCGGGTTCTGAGATATAAGATCAACCAGACACAACCCTGCCCCTAAACAGCTCATAGACCTGGGAGGCAGGGAAAGAAGTCAGAGAACAAGATGGTTTTGAACAGATAGGGAGTCCAGTTCTGAGCATCATGAAATGTGAGGGTGTGCTGAGAGTTTTAGACTTCCCCAGAGTCCTAGTTTTGATAGGTAAAGCCTGTGGGTTAAGAGAAAAGTTGTGGGGGTCGGGGGGTTGGGGGGACGGCGGGGGACAGGCTCAAGGGAGAGTCAGGAAATTTGAATGATGTGAAAATATCAAATCTGAAAAGTAACACAATACATGTTCAGAAACCAAACAAAAGGCTAAGCACAGAGGACATGAGCATCAGGGCAGGCATTTTATAACTTGAGGCTCTAGAAATAAAACTT